GAGGTTTTTTTCACACCTGTACCCTTTGGGTTCTCTCCCCCTTCTCTCTGGGGGGGAGTGACTGAGCAGAGTGACTGGGTGGGGGCTTACCTGCCAGCTGGGTCCATCCACCTCAAGACCAAAGAACAGATGTGGCTTTTGAGACGGAAATGCATATTAAGACTTCATTTTAGTTGAACTGGTTTGGTTACTTGCTGTGTTTCAACAGGCTTGCGTTCTGACAGTTGCATCTCGGCTGGGGTCTGAGATTGAACCACCAATTCAGTTCTGACCTGGAATAATCAGTAGAATGAAGTGACATTCTGAGAGGCAAAAAGTCATCTTGCACATTCTTTAGGGATTTAAATGGAAAATAGTAAGGAGAGAAGTATGGAAATTCTATAAAACTAGCAAGCTTATTTCTAAAGGTAATTATTTTTATAACACAAAAAGAGCTTTTAAGTCTTGGTAAGTAATTTAACTATTATGTGTTTGTTAATTTAGTAACTGACTTCTATTTGATTCCCCCCCCATATCTGGAACATAATTTAAGTAATCTAAATAACCAAATCAGAATTGGGTTTAGTGCTTAAAAGGTTATTTTGATCTTCAGTGTCACTTCTCCACAGATTTGTGGGGAATTTTATAAGAAACAGAACCAATCCATGTGGTTGTTGCTGATCTATAGGGTGTAGAGCTTCCAACTGTAAAGTTGTAAGCTCTAAGATCGCTGCCAGTTTGAATGTCCCAAAACTCCAAGGGACTTAGGTGATCTGCCTTTAACAGCTGTGGTAAAATAATAGTTTCAAGTGCTTCCAGCTTCTTTTACGTTTCTCGTCTTCATTTGAAAGAATTTATTTTTGAAAGAAATGCAGACTACGTACACGTATGTTTAAAGGCTCTTGCTTTCACTGGGGTACTGTAACCTAGAAAAACAGTTCCTATGGCCATATTTGGGGGGAAGAGACTGGCAAGGACTGTTCTTATTACCTTACAGCATTGTGTATAAAGCTATGTAGTCCTTCAGACTTAAGCTGAGAAGAATAAATGACAGCTGAGATAGAAAGTGCAATCAGCAATACCAAAGGAATATTTAGGAGATTTGTACATCGGAAGGAAAAAACTTCAGTAAAAACAGAATGCAGGATAGATTAAGAAGAGGTGAGAGAGAAAGTTCTGACAACAGAATTTAGGCAAAACCAGGGTAATTGGATCTACCAGCATTTACTAAAAGAAAAAAAAGACTGTAGGCAGGTTTAAAAAATAAGGGCAGATTATTAACTCATTCTGTAAAGTCCACCTTGATTCACCTGTACTTATGTTAAATAGGTTAAACAAATAAATTAAAAAAAGAGATCATAATAGAAGTAGTAGTAGATGATTAATCCCTTCTAATTGGCATATCAGTATTTTTCATAGATTTTTACGTTCTAATCCTGAGAACGAAGAAAAGAATTGAGGTAAATTGAGAAAGAATTTGGCAGATAATGAGGGGTTATATATAAACCCTTACCAGACTCTTCTCCAGTGGCCAACACCAAGAGCACATTTTTGTTGAGCACGATTCTGGTTGGACCAGGGATCAGAAAAAGATCCACACTGATAAGCGAAATGTCATATTCGATGAAATGACTGAGTTATCCACAGAATACCCTTCAGCAGAGTAGATGAAAACTGCAGATGGGAGAAAGGTAGATCTTGTAACTTGAAAAACTTCACAGGAAATTGACAGTTCTCTCAACTTTGCTATGAATATCACTTTGGGCTGCTAGACGTGGGGATGATTGCTCAGTTAAGGTACAGTTTAGCCTGAGTAGGGGTAGTAATAGGTATACACAAGTCTATTCTCTTTTTAGAAATATAACTGAATCTATAAAACAAACAGTACATGAGACAATTTGTAAATTTTGGTTTAAATGATAAAGAGGGTAAGTACTTTAGAAGTTACTTCCATGTAACAATGCAGTTGAGGAGCTTTAAAAATCTTAACTCTTTAGCTAATAAAAAAGTAATAAAATTTAAGACTAATGCATAGTATGAACAAATTGATAAATTAATACTCTAAACCATCTGCCACTGTTGTCAAGTAGTAAGATACAAATTTTGGGGAGAAAAAAAAGTATTTGTTGTAACATAAACCCATTATATCTGAACACCTATACTGAATGGCTTCATTTTTTTAATATTCACTTGAATTATTATTGTCAATACTTACAAAAAGGGGATCCTTGCCCTATTGTTTTTAAATTTAAATACTTCACTTAGTTAAGTCATCTGATTGCAGCTATTTTGGGTGTCTTTGTTCCAGTTTCTGCTTCTGAAACATTTCTGTGTCATAGTTAGAGTCCTTAACTCAACAGTAGCCATGTGTGGATTTTGGAGTTCTCAGTTTTATCTTTTCTATAATTGAAAAGAATCTGCCTGTGAAGAATTACCTTTTTTGGTACCTGTGTACGAAGAGTTGGCCAGGACTGCCTTCTCCTTCTCCCTACCTCCTGTACAGTACACTGGGTGAATTGCACAGCATCTTGAGATGAAGAAGTTTCCTTCATTTCTTAAACATTATTCTTGGCTGCACTTCTGTAATGTTTGGCAGCCAGAGCTGCTTATTTTAAGATGTTCATTAAAGAGAAAAAATTAACAGGATGAGAGACAGCTGCAGGTACTGGCAGTATACAAAATTCATAATTACTAAGAGTAACTGAAGCATATTATACTATAATTCAACCGAAAAAACAGCTGGCACATGCTATATTTGTCATATGAGAGCTTTGCAGAACGTACTTGCTACAGCTGGCGGATTTATCACCCGTCTGCCGAAATGCTAAAAGCTCACCTTTTGTTTCCTACTCACTTAACAAAGACAGTATGGAGTAGGGACTGATGTGATTATTCAGCAGTTGGGGTTACTGCTCAATTTTAATATTAAAATCTCATAATGTGTGTTTGGGAGGAGGGTTAACAATCGGAATGAATCAACTGTCTAGCTCAATAGCCAGCATGTTTCCTTATGCTTACAAGGTTAAACTGTTTTCTTTAAATACATGTGCAGTGTGATCTAATTATAAAAAGAATTTCTTGATATACAGCTGTGTATGAGCATGTAAACGCTGTTTGTGGCCTGTGCTGCTAAGAATGCTAATTTCACACCTCAGTACAAGTATAGAAGACAGATTGTTTTCAGTGACTAGGAATTTTTAATTTAGAAAATTCATCTATTTGGATAGTCTTCTAAGATGACATAACAATAAAGATGGCTTGTCAGAGTTCAAGAATTTCCTTATTTTCAAAGCCTTTTTTACGAGCGTAGTTGAACATAAGCGGTCTACACATTGTAAGGAGTAGTGTTTGAATAATTTTCTAGGGAGTTTGTTTAGAAAAGGTATGTATGAAAAGATACAACAGGAATTGTGTAAAATTTCTGTTTTGCTAATAAAACAGTTTATAAAAACTGAACTTTCAAAAAACAGCTGTTCATTCGGGCTCCTATACTGAAAATGCTTCATCTTGATGCTTGGAATTGATTACAGAGGACAAATTGTAGTAATTGTGTTAACTGTTAACATACTATCTTGATTCTGCAATTTTAATCTATCTTTAATTCTTATCTTATATAAACTTGTTGACATGTTGTAACAAAGGTATAAACTATATATAATTTTAACTGTTTAACATTGTTTCAATATCTTCCTATGCACTCTCACTTTTATAGCAGCTAGTCAAAAGATCTTGAACCATTTTTACGATGTCTACCTGGGACTGATTTTTAAAGGAGCTGGTTGAGAACAAGGGAGTGGAGAACTACCAGCCTTATGTTAAGAGACGGGTTGCAAATTTGTATTTAAAGTGCCATATAGCAGTTTTCAGGCAAACTTTTATGAAATACTAACTTTAAAAGTTTTTAAGAGTAAATTATTATTGAGAACTAAATGCCAATATTAAAATAGCAGGGGCTTTTTAAGATGAAGATCTGAGGTTAAAGCATCTCCTACCTTACCTCCATTCCCCCCCGAAAGAATAAAGGCATCCGTTACCGTTACAGTGCATGTAGTTTCAGTAATAGGCAGAGCACCTAAAGATTATTGGATTTCTGAGCACTGTCAATGTGCTACATATTCATGAAGGCATTTCAGCATATTTTCAGCTTGGGAAAGGAAGGTAAAGTCAGAATCAAATTGAAAATTCTTCTTCACAAATATGTTTGAACCTCAACGTAGAAGGTGAAGCTCGTGGCAAGAATCTGGATCACGCCATTTTTTGTGATGGTGGTACTAGTGGAGTAGAAACTGCTCAAAGGTTAGAGCAGCCCGTTTAGTTCTGCACCTTTCTCTGGCTAAAATTACCGAAGTTCAGAGTTTTTTCCATCTTTGGTCATCCCTCTCCTTCAGTGGCTTGTGAACACAGAAGGCAAGAACTGTTTCCTTTGAGCACAAACTCAAAGATGTCTACCATAACGCAGCTATTTTTTTGTCTTCGATATGATACAAATTCAGGATCACAAAAACTCATTCAGTTTAAAAGTAAAAAGACCACTTTGAAGAAGGTGGCATTTTCCTTTTCCTCCTGAAGTGTTACATTGCTGTCTGTCTCAAAGTATAGAATGATTTGGTTTTAGGTTCAAAGTACCTTCAAAAATGTCCGCATTGCAGTCTGCTTATGGGACACTAATTCGAATGTTAATCTAAAAATCGAACTGTGCAAATGCAGCTTATATTTATAACACACTTGATAACCTGCCTGCAAAATAAGATTCAATAAACGGAAAAAAAAACCCTGTAAAATGTCAAATGCTCTTGACAGAGTCCTGTTGATTTGAACAAATACATCTCATTCCTCTGCCATTATAGTTACATATTAGAGTGCTAGCTGTGTAATGCTTTTGAAATCAATGTTTTAAGAGCAACGCTATAATTAAAAATACACCATAAGCCCCTACAATGCAAGAAAGTACCTATGAAATTATCTTCCGATAACGGATGCACTACTGTGTGTTAATCAGTATCTTTTCTTCCGATTAATAGAAGTGAGCTGAGCCAACAGAAACTTCGTAGCCAGGAGCTCGTTTCTCAGCTGGAATTGGCAAATGAAAAGCTAACTGAGGTAAGATAATGACTGATATGACAACTACTTTCAGTTATAAACTGATGCACACACACTAGGATCTTAACAGAAACCTATTGAGGTAAGTTACATTGCTGGTTTAGAAAAAAATGAGGATTTTTGACAGGAGTAGTCATAACTGGAAAACCCTCTGTTTCTGCTGACTGACATGTTTAAATGGCAGGAGACAAATTAACTTTACTCTCAAATTACGGGAAAAGGTAAAGGAGAGATCATCTTTCAAGGTTACTAATTTAGCAATAATTCAGGAAATGTTTCTGAAGTCACTTATGCCTGTGTATGCATGCATACCTCAAAAAGGAGTAGGCATTGTGTTATGGATAATGTAGCATATGCAGAGGTATAAGATTCTCAGCATGCTATGCGTATAGTAGAATTTACACTGTATGTGCACATATGCATATAGATAAAAGCATTATCCATTAAAGACTAAGGGCAGCGTTGTTTTGGAATGTACATTGTTCAATAATTAATGGCCACTTTAGAAAACAGCTATCCTGTCAGCTTCATAAATCTGCGACAATATCCAGTTCTGTCTAGGATAAGTCCTTCTGCGTTGTTTTGTGTAGCGCTGTATTATTTAGAGGAGAAAAATGGGGCTGATGCGAGAATAGATTTCTGTAAGTAAAGGATGGTGAAGAAAGACTTTATACATACCCTTTGATGAAGAGAACAGAGGAGAGCTGTAGCAAGATTATCATCTCATTTGTATTATCTAGAGTATTCTTTTCCCTTTGAGTATAGCTGAAACATTTACATTGTAAGACTTGTAAATTAAATTACCTGGATTAAGTTGTCAGCCTTTATGCATCTTTCTTCAAGATGGTGAAAAGTAAAACTTCCTCTGCAGATTACTCTGATTGGAAAAGTCATATATGATGTCATACGTGAGCTCGAAGGTCTCTATAATGTGTCTTCAGTCTTATTTTAAGTGGTAAACAGTTCCACTTCTTAAGTTCCTCGTGGTTTAAGCTGTTTCACTACAGTACGTATGGATCCAGTAAAAAGAACTTTGCATTTGTAATGAGATATATCATTTATACAGGATGAAAAATTAATGATGGAGTATCGAGAATACATCAATAGGCTTCAGAGGCGACTGAGTCAGGCAGAACAGAGGGCAGCTACAGCATCTCAAAAGGTACAAGCCTAACAAAAAACATGTTATCTAAGCGCATTAAAAAATGCCACTGAATATTACAAAAATACTCACTTTTTATCATTCCTGAGGCAGCACTGATCATTTAAGGGCATTATTAAAATTATATTAGTAATCACAGAATCATAGAATGGTTTGGGTTGGAAGGGACCTTGAAGATCATGGAGTTCCAACCCCCGTGCCATGGGCAGGGACACCTCCCACTAGACCAGGTTGCTCAAAGCCCCATCCAGCCTGGCCTGGAACACCTCCAGGGATGGGGCCTCCACAACCTCTCTGGGCAACCTGTTCCAGTGCCTCACCACCCTCAAAGTGAAAAATTTCTTCCTAATATCAAACCTAAATCTCCCTTCTTTCAGTTTAAAGCCGTTACCCCTCATCCTATTGCGACACTCCCTGATAAAGAGTCCCTCTGCATCTTTCCTGTAGGCCCCTTTAGGTACTGGAAGGCCACTATAAGGTCTCCCCGGAGCCTTCTCTTCTCCAGGCAGAACAGCCCCAACTCTCTCAGCCTGTTTTCACAGGAGAGGTGCTCCAGCCCTCTGATCATCTTCGTAGTCCTCCTCTGGACCCACTCTGACAGGTCCCTGTCCTTCTGATGTTGTGGGCCCCAGAGCTGGACACAGAACTCCAGGTGAGGTCTCACCAGAGCAGAGTAGAGGGGCAGAATCACCTCTCTTCACCTACTGTGTCAAAAATACTGATAATTGTGCAGACAAAATAGGAGATATTTGGGTTTTTCCAGCCCACAGGAAGAGGGGAAGGAAGGGATGTGGTGTATGTATCTCACTACCATAGTGTACATGCTTAGTAGATGTTTCAGTGATTCTGAAAACTTCAGACAAGGTGTGTCTGTTAGAGCCATTTCTATGCCTAAGACCTCCTTGTGCGCCATTGTGATCACTTAATGAGCGGAATTGTTGCTGCCTTCTTTTTCCAGTTCTCTTACAACTCAGTTCCAGCTTTGAGCAGTACTATTCAGTATTGCTAGACATCAGGGATATTGGGAGCAAAGGTTTTCTTCTCTTCAGAGAGATAAACTTCGGGCTTTAATTGTCTAAACCCCATGCTACCTATAATTCTGTATTTTCTCTGCTGGACAGTAGATGTTTTTTGTTCTGTTGTTTTTTTTTCCATCCAGCGTTCTCTTTTCCATACTATTCAAGCTGTACATCTTGAAGCAAATTCCATGGAGGGGTTTATACACTGGGTTCACTTATTTGCCAAGGAAGTTTGTTACTCAAGTTGGTCTCCTATTAAGTAAAGGTGGTCTTTCTGCCTCCTAATTTTTTACAGTGATTTAGGAAACGTATTTGCAAATTACAGCTTTTTAATGTGGGTGATCCCATTTGATTTGCAGAGAGGAAATGTTTTGTTGATCTAAATTGTCCAGTTAGGACAAAGGGCATTCTTTTTCCCCACAGCAGTGAATAAATGGGCGTAGCTGCCAAGCTATCATAACATAAGCTGTGTTTCCTGGCTGTAAATGCTCTCTGTCATGACAAGGTCTGCCCAGCTGGTGAAGATTTGCTCTGAAAGAGTGATATTATTTTTTTATTTTTTAACCTCCTGTTTGTTACATGGATCTGTTCAGCTCTGATGCTTCTGAGGTGCTCTCTTCCCATAAAAAAACATGGTCAGGTCACCATAATTCCCGGTAAATTCCCAGTCTCAGTGCCCATATAGGAAGAGGTCTTGCTGTTCCTGAAAACATCGATAATTATCTGTTCGTCACCAGTCTCCCTCTGAAAGGTAACAAAGAGATTTGATAAGATGTTTAGCTGCTAAGTTGTTGTCCAGATCTTACTGCCAGTCTTCAGAACTGCCTTGCCCTCTTCAAGCTTGGCAGAGGTTACTGCTGCCAGCTGTCAGGCACGGCTGCTTTGTAGTGACTTAAGAACTTCTGTGCCAAGGCCCTTCCTCTCTGCCACCCCTGCCCTGTCCCCCTCCCCTTTCAAAAAGTCGTACCAGCACTCTTCCCGCTAAAGGCTGGGGGAAAAAGCGTTCTCCAGGAGTACTGCTACAAGAATGTCTGCTCTTCTGAATCTGAAGAAATGAGGTGCTTATTCTCTTCTAGCTCTCAGAAAAGTGACGTGTGTGCCTCCTCAGATTGAGAACAGTAATTCTTCTCTGTATTCGGAATCTGTAGGTTAAGGGCTGCCTTGACTTAATTGTGTATTCTCATTATGTTATCCAGCTTACTTGTAACATTAAATCCAGTATAGGCTAGAGCTGGACTACTAGGGAGTCTAGAAATTACATTTTTATTGTGGTTAGTTCAATGACTATAAATCTTAGCTTATTATTAAATAATAGTAATTCAGTAAGAAACATAAAAAATACAGGATAATGTTTGCACAGGTTTAAAATGTGTGTATTCTATGTCGATGTCTTTAAAGTGTACTTCTACTACCTAATCTTTCATCATCTTGAATTCTTTGTGATCTGAAATAAGACAAAAGCAATAGTCATCTGTAGAGTAATTCTGTACATTCTGTTTACCCCAAATTCCCACTTATCTATGCTTGTTCCCTCTCCTTTGTGACACCTTCCATATTGAAGTTCTACTGATACTTTGATCTTTCTTATGAAAAATTATTTAAGAAACTATCTGTCTGCTTGTTTTTAATGACAGCTCACCCTGATAACTACACAGAAGAAAAAAGCTGCTTCCCTGAAGGATCTGGAAAATATTTAAACATGTATTGTTCATTCACACCATGTTGGAGTTAAGAAGATTGCTGGAGAAACTTCATATTGGAGCATAAAGTCAAATGCGTAGCAAGGCTTGTAAAACTTAGATAAATATTTTCTGGTTTATTCAGGTAAGAAAGGGGGTGGATGAAGGTACTGTATCTGTGTGCATAGTAAAGATTGGAAGAAGACTGCAAAATGTTGTAATTAAAGTCCTTTAATGTAGCAGATGAAACAATCTGATACAGTGCTGTGGCATATTGGTCTTTTTTGGTCTAAAAAACACCAGCTCCAACTATGACAAGATTGTGTACACGGAATAGATAACATTATATTGAAATTCATGAACAGCTTTGCTCACGTACAGTCGATACCTTTGATTTTTCTTTGTAGTGCAGTAACTTGGGAACATTTTGAAGATCTTTTATGAATTGTAGTAAGACACGAATTACATCACGAGCACGAGCGTCAAATAGTTGCTGGTTTTATGGCAGGCGTGAGAGCTGCCAAATGCCCTCATTGCCTTCCAGTTTTAAGAATTGGGTTCAGTTTGTTCTGATGCCCCTGGGAAACAGTTAATAAATAAAATGCTGCTATGGCTATTCATACAGCTCATTTCTAAGGACTGTAATCTTTCTTCAGTTGTGTTTTTTCTTCCTACTTACTTCCAATTTACAATTGTTCCTTGCTTTTTCTGTTGATCTACTCTCTTGGTTTGTATGCGTCTGGAAACTTCTGTTCTCTATTACTTCACTTTGCACAAAGCTGGTGAAGTCATCCAGTCCTCCAGCTTTTACGCATCTTGAAATAGCGTGTTTGAATTTTGCAGATGCCACTATGTGGGGAATCCTCTTGTGTACACTTTTTTTCTTTGATAGTTGAGAAACTTCATGATATATCATTCTAAAATTAGAGCTGAACTCTGTTTTCTTTTTCAGCTTTTAGTATAAACAATTGATAGGTGTTAACTGATTTTTTTAAGTGCTCCCATCTTGGATTTAAGTGACATAATTTCTTGTCCTTCCTCTTAAATGCGAAGAGCATAATTCTGGTTTATAACTTCTAATTTGGTTGATGGATAATGCTTACCCAATGCTTGATGAAAACTGTTCTTTTGGACTGATAAACCCATACATCTGTTGCAGTGGATCTTCACTGTATTTGCATTTTAGAGGACAGACCTGGGTTGATCACCACATGGAAGGAAGAGTTTGTGCTACCTCCTGAAAACCTGGCTGTTCAAGTACAGCCTGCAAGATGGATGCAACCTCAAGAAAAATTTCTGCTTACTACTTACTACAGTTGTTTGTACACGCTTGTTTACTAGTGCTTTCTCAGTTTGTTATATGCCTGTATCCATTACAATCTCTAATTTTACTAAAAGACTTCAAGAATTTTTCAAAGCAAGTGGATACATTGTCCAGAAGCTCCAAGCGTCTGTTGCAGTGAGATGTTCATCAATCAACCATGTATATGATACAGAGGGAGGTAAGTACCAAGCACCTTATATTCATTTGCATAACGCACATCTGAGATGATGACAGACCACCTGGAAGATTTCATGGGAGCTATTAATCCCATTTGCTCCTTAAAGAGAGGCTCTAGCTGCGAAGTGAAACCTGGCAGAAAGGGCAGGTAATTGTAAGTTTCTGAGCAACAGTACTTGTGTATTTGTTTCTTGAGGCACAGAAGGGCACCTGATTGGTTCCCTTTTAATTATAGGTATATTCATTTCAACTTGTGGTGTAGCTCTTGTGTAATGTTTATTTGCCAGAACTTGAATTTCAATGATGACACAAGCACCTAATAGTAAAGTTAAGGGGCAACAGAGCAATTATGGCAGATGACATAGGAAAGAAAAAGCTTTCCCACTTTCAAGTGTCTGCCTAATCCTCTGAGCAGCTAAAATGGACCAAATCCATCTGTCTGAAGGGCAGCCTGCGCTTCTCTACTTCTTAATTAATTCTGCATGAATGGCACTGATAAAATTGATGAGCTGGAGACTTTGTGTCTTACAAGTTACTTCTGACTCGTTTCCAGACTCTTAGTTGGATATATCTTTTACGGGGCAGTTTATTAGTACAGAGCATAACGGTCACCGTTGCTGATGGGAACAAAGAGTGGATTTCCTGAGCTGTGCTATGAGAGTGACTGCTTCTGGAGGTCTCCATCACAGCTTCGCAATGCGTTCCTGTCCTTTCTCCTTGGAGAGTGGAGCCGGACCAGCACCGCAGCACCCGTGTGCACGTGCTGCCGGTGGGAGCAGGGTCTGCTGTCCTGCTGGTGGCCTTCTGCCAGATCAAGCTAAGCTCGTCATCCTAACACCACCTCCTTTCCTTTCCGTTTGGCTTCTGGTGGAGGCTATTGGCATGTTCCTCACAAATTGGACTTTCAGAGGAAAGGCACTTGCTGAGGCAACTGAAATTTGAGGCTTGCTGGTGAGAAAAGTAAGTCTTGCAAACTTTCCCTATGATACTAGATTGTTTCATGGAATTGAGCAGCAGGTTGTTCATCCATCTGGCTTGGGTCTTTTACATTTGTTTTTATCTATGTATTTCTTACCAATTCCATTGAAAAGGTTTTGTTTCCCCTACCTTCCTTTCCTACCTCAACACCAGTTTTTGAGTGTTTAATGATTTTAAAGCGCTGTTAATGTTTCCCATTGAGTAAAACTTTGTTCTTGAATATGTTTATTTTGGGGAAAGTTTCTAGGTGATAGTTACTTCCATTCAACAGGTAAGAGAAACTGACTATGAAGGTAGTATGAGTTTCATTTTAGGTCTTGCTAAGAGCCCTGTACCTTCTGGCAGGTTGATCTTGAAAGATCTGTCACTGTAAGCTGCCCTCAGCTCTGACCCCATCTTACTTAGGTAACCCCAGCAGCACAGTCCCTTTCGGAAAGGCTGCTGTCAGCAAGATCTATAAAGCAGCTGCAAGAACCTCATTCAGACTTTTCTTCACACCTTGAAGAGCTCGTACCAGTAACTCTTCAGAGGGCCATCCTTTAATCTTCAGTCTTTGAAATATGTTTTCTTAAGGAGTGCCACTCCCAGTTGCCCACAAATGTGAATACACGTGATACAAATTATTTACCCACAGCTGTTTTTCAAGGTGTATTGCTAGATACATGCCTTCACGACCTTGTCCTTTTCTTGCTTTGCCCCACATCTGTTCCATGTTTCCGCATCTTGAGTTTAGAGGAAGGAAGAGGAAAAGAGCTACTGTGCCCTTCACACCTTCTCTCCTAGAGCTCCTGCTAGAGCAGCAAATGTTCTCTGTGAGCATTGCTTGACTATAGGCAGTTCATAGCGTGAATGTACATTCAGTGTACTTATCTTGAAGATCTACAGATAAGAAACCTCATGTTCCTCCTCCAGTGGAACATGCATGAAGATTATGGACTTTGGAAAAACGTATCAACAAATGTAAACTATTTGAGGTAAGCAATGTCTCTTCAAGGATCTCAAGGAAAAAAGCATACAATTTTCTGTTGATGGGATAGGCACAGCTGTCGGTAACAAGACCCTATACTATTCCTCAAAAAAAAAAAAACCAACTTGCAACCACAGTGTGCATTTTGATACCTGTAATCCAAATTAAATGCTTACTTTAACCATGGAAGTTGTCCAGATCGTTGCAGTGTTTATGTAAAAACCCAAACAAAATAACTGCTGCAAATTCTAAAACGCTGCTGGCAAGGATACTGCAAAAATGTACAGCATTTATTCACATACAGACAAAAAGGCACAATTCTACTGAATATTTTAACAAAAAATACAGCTGTCTTCAACTAGGTCTTTATAAATACTTCAAAAAAGGGAGAAAATAAATACAGGATTGGGCCATGTAATATAAAATAGTCATCTCTACATATACTTTTTATTTCTATCTTTTTCTCTTCATGCACCTTTTTTAATTAATTTCAGCTGAATGGACACCAAAGCTAGGCACATAGTGAAAAATCTTCTGTACAAGGTTTTACAAATGTAATGACAATTTTCTCAGATTTCCAAAATTAAGATTTATACACAACACGTATAACCCTTCATTTAGCTTTTTGTGAGTTTATAACCTAACAAATGGCATTCCAGGCAACTTTACAGAAGTTCAACTAGCCTACAGTTTGACAGAACACACCGAATCATAGTCAAAGATCTCTTGGTCAGTCTGCACAAGGAAAGGTAATGCTTAAAAACAGAAATTGAGCAAATGGTTCTATCCCAATAAAATACAGGGGTGGGTTTGTATTGTCACTGCTGTACTTACAACACCTCTTCTGCTGAGCGCTAAGCATGGGAGACAAAACTAACCTACAGAGCTGGTCATACTGCAGTCTTCTTACAGCTTTTTTGGTTTTGGTTCAGCTTAACTCGAAACATTAGAAAGCTTATTAACCTAAACGTCGGGGAGGAAAACAGATAAGGCATTAATTCTGCACAACGTTAGCATTCATAATAGTGCAAATTAACAAGGTACCTCTTCCAAACTGGTGTGAGGTTAAATGTTTACTTAGAATCAAAATTTCGATTATTCCATTTATGGCTTGACAAACAATTCCCTATATGGTCGTGAGCTCCTTTCTTACAGAAAATAGCAGTGCCTGTCTGGAAAACATTGCTTATGTGGATTTACATTTTGTCTGTCTCGTTTGATCAAGTAAGTACTTTTCTTTTAACACATCCCAAGAGTGACTACGTAATTTTAGATTCACCGGTGCCCTGTTTGACTTTCACCTCTTGAAGTCATGAAGTTAATCTAACTTCTTGGGACCAACAATGGTATTTTAAAAGTACACTATCTTACATAAAATTCCCCGTCTTCAACATCATCCCGAAAGGTATCAAAAGGTTAAGACTTCTGAGTTTTAAAAGAAATGCTAGGGATGCATTCTGTTGAAATATTTAATTAAGTGATAGCTTGCATAGCAAGATAAGCCGCCTCTTTTCTTTTTTTTTTTAATTGAATCCTCTGGAAGACTCAGTTATGGCAGAGTTCTACTGTGTT